ACTGTATGTATTCTTTAATATCTTTAATTGGACATGCACATTGTACATAAAGGAAGTACATAACAAAACTAAAAAGTATATGCCTTTTTGCCTTTTTTCAAGGCACATTTTGCCTTTTTCCAAGTTTTTAGTGCATTAAAATCCTACATTTCTACATTTTGGAGGGGGGAGGGGGGTCAGAACACCTAACCACCCCCCGAAATGTAGAAATGTAGGATTTTAATGCACTAAAAACTTGGAAAAAGGCAAAATGTGCTTTGAAAAAACGCAAAAAGGCATATAACCCCCCCCCCTAAATATGGCCTTGTTGCCTACCAAATTTCAACTTCGTGGGACTTATTGTTCCAAAGTTATAGCTGATAAATTATTCCACGCCCCCTTTTACAAACTCATTTATATAAACCCTCATATAAGCACCTACTATTGATATGCCTGCATACCAAATTTCAAGTTCGTGGGACTTATGGTTCCGAAGCTATAGCTTATAAAAGGATTCCACGCCTATGGGATACGCCACGCCCCCTTTTACAAACTCATTTATATAAACCCTCATATAATTTAAAGAATTCCTAAAGTTACTTTGTTTATCTAAGTGCTAAGCAGTTCTAATTTGTGTAATTTATACTGAAAAAAGCTATTTGAAGCCAAGCTCCAATAAATTGTTGTGTTTTACACATAAAGTGCGTGGATTAAAAATTAATATTCTTGTCATTCCTTGTGCATATTTCCCTCTTTTGGTGCATTATTGTTGTTTTGCGTGAGAGTGCATTTTTGGCTTGGTTTTATGCTTTTAAGCTTTTTGGCGCAGTGGCTTTAAAACTGTTAAGTTCAGCACGGTTTCTTACAATACCTAGACTTCTGTGTCTCTCAAACGCTCATCTTTGCTACTATCGTACTCAAAGCGTACACTGAGTTTTTTCTTGTACATACAAATTGTCGCGCTGCAATGTATTCATCCTGCTGTTTTGAAAAATGTAACATTAAAAACGACTTAGAGCGTTGCGTTGCGTGTTGGTTGTGTGATGACTTAGCTCACGTAAAATATGCTGGTCTCAATGGTAGGGCGGCCGATATCATAACCGACAACAAAGGTGTTCGTTGGTCTTGCCTCGAGTGCAGATCAACCGAAGTTGAGCTTTGTAAAATGTTGAGGAGCGCCAGAAGTGGCTTCCAGGAGTTGGGTAAGGAGTTAAAACTTCTAAACGAAAAGTTTAAGCGATATGAAGATGCATTTAAAGACTTTAAGTGCATTGAATCTTCATCCTCTCCATCACCCAAGCTTAAACAAGCTTTTAAAAAGCGGAAGCATGGAGAAGACAGCATTGTTCCTAATCCCATTGCTTTAGACATTGACACTCCGCCTACTGATTCTTTGCCTACTCCCGGCTTAAATAAGGAATTAATAACTTTTGATTCTCCGTGTGTTGAGTTATCTCAAGCTCATCTTATATAACATCAAAGCTTAACCCCCGGCACATAGCTATTAGAAAATTAAATTTTTCATACGAAAGAAGCATATCTTCCTTCAAAATTGATATTTCTGCCGACCATTTTCAAAACATTGTTGATGGTTCATTCTGGCCCAGAGTTTGAGTTTAAACCTCGAGCTCGGAATGAAAATACTGTTCAAATTCCCTCCTCAGGATCAAAAAACTTATAAGTAATTTTTTCTTCAATATTTATTACCAAAATGTTAGAGGGCTAAATACAAAATTAACCGAGCTGTACTTAAAGTCTTTTGATTTAAATTATGAAATTTTGGTTTTTACTGAAACTTGGCTAAAACCGAATGTGTTAAATAGTGAAATATTGTGTAGTAATTATGAAATATTTAGAAATGATCGCTTAGATAGAAAAGGCGGGGGTGTTTTAATAGCTGTTCAGACCGACTTTTCCTCTGAAAATGTTGTGATCACAGGGTCAGTGTTAGAATACGGTGCCCCTCAAGTAGTGTTTTTCTTGTTGCAATTTATATTCCATCAAACTCTAACCCTTCGGTTTACTTTAAACATTCTTCATTATTGCTCTTTATTTGCCACGGTCAAGCCCTCCGATTCGATTGTTGTGTTGGGTGATTTCAATCTAGCGTCAGATTAATTCAGTTATCAACAACTTAGGTAAATGTCTTGATTTAGCGTTTATTGATGATACTGCTAAATGCACTATAATACGCGGCGAGGCTTTAGTTATGCCTATAGACCCTTATCACCCACCACTTGAGTTATCCTTGGCACCACCCTACGATTCACGTTATTGTCCTGAAACTAGAAAGCCGAAAGGTCGGCGATACTCTTTCAAATACGCTAACTACGACAAGCATAAAATGGCTATATCTGAAATAATCTGGCCTGAGTACGATGGGGATGTTGAGAACACTGCCTTACACTTTAGTAAAATCTTGAATAATATATTCAGAAAACTCATTCCTCTTGTTAAAGAAAATACCGGACCGCGTAACTCGTTGTGGTTTAACTCAGAGCTAAAGCATTTAAAAAATCAGAAAACTAAATCATTTAAGCTTTATAAAAAAATCAGGCCTGTCTTCTCACTACGCCACGTACTCCATCCTTCGCCATAAATACAATGCCTTAAACAGAAAATGTTACAGGAATTGCATTAATAAAACTCGCATTAACATCGTTCCTAATCCCAAGTCATTTTATCATTTTGTTAACTCAAAACGTAAAATAAATGGGTTTCCCTCAATACTGAAATTAGATGATGTTATTTCTAGTGATGATGATATGATTGCTGATATGTTTGCAAATTATTTTGAATCGAACTATTCTGTCGAGCCAAATGAAAAAACTTCTAGCTATCCTTTTCCACTCCCACAGTTTGACCACATCCGTATTCCTTCAATCTCCGCTGACAATGTTCTCTTTCATTTGAATAGTTTAAAAGATTCTTTTCTAAGCGGCCCGGAAGGTATTCCCTCCTGA